CTTGGGGTTTTCTTGGCAAAATCTCCACAGGGGTTTTGCCATGGGTTTCTTGGGCTGAGAGAGTGTGCATGCATATTTTTTTTAATTTCTAATTTAAAAAAAGATTTTTTTAAATATTTATTTATTTATTTATTTTTGGTGCTTCGGCCCTCCAATTGTCTGAGGGACAGAAACCTGGCCCCGGCTCAAAAAGGTTGCCTACCCCTGCTTTAGATGATAGATAGATAGATAGATAGATAGATAGATAGATAGATAGATCAAACATGGGAAATGAGAATAGTTTGCTTAAGCCCATGCAATCAGTTCATCATTTCTGGGTCAATGGTGAGGAAGATCAAGACAGAAGATGGAGCTTGCTCCCAAAGATAAAAATTGCTTAATTTTGTAAAGGTGGAACAGGACAGATTTTAGTGGTTCCATCTAAACAGTAAAATGCTGGAGTGCTTTCATCAGATGATATTTTCTGTGCAATCCCTGTACCTAAATCATGGATGTTTCTTGGAGTTCCAGATATACAGTGAGCCCTCTGTTTTCATGGGGGATCCGTTCCAGACCCCTCCCCCCATGAAAACATAGATTCGCCAATATTCAAGCCCCATAGGCTTGAATGGGGCACACCTCTGCAGGTGCGTGCAGGGGTGCACCTGCAGGTGCACACCCCACTGATTTTAATGGAGATCACCTCTCCATGAATATGCAAAACCTCAGACTTCAAATCCGCAAGAATGGAGGGGCAACTGTAATCATCTTTAGATTTATTTGTTTATTTATTTGATTTAATCCCAAATGGGATTCAAAGTGACTTACAATTGAAATTTACAGTCCTCTCATGTTTCCCCATTGTTCCCCTTACTTTGGAAAAAATCTGTTAAGGGGAAAAAAAGATGCACGCTGCATCTTTTAAATTGTGAATGTCAGGAGCTCTTTGTCTAAAAGTATAGCTGCTGTGTATGGTCAGTGTATTCCAGATGAGGTCTGATTAGTGACAAGTAAATGGAACCAATACTCTCCATGATTTAGAAATATTCTCACCAACAGGACTGAATCCTTCCTCCTCCCTCATATCATTTCATTACATATGCAAAGCTTTGGAAATCTGCTATGTACTTTTCATTGCTACAGTGAACTCTTCTATTTCTAGGAAGGATCTAGTCACAAAAGTGTCCTGAATTTTGAGTGTATTTACTCTTGTCCCTTGATCCCCAATATTTGCCATGGAAATGGTGTGTTGGGTGAACGTGACTGGGGAGTGAATCTTTGACGGTTCGTTTGGATTTTGAATTATTCATTTGAGGAGGTCTGTTTGCAGTGTTAATAAGAATGGAGTGCCATACCAAAGAGACATGATTCCTCCTGGAAATCCTTCTCCTCTTTTCTCTTTTCTTTTCTTTTCTTTTGCTTGAAATGTGGCAGGAAAATCAGAAGGTTTATTAAATTTAGAAACATAAAATACTGGACTAAATCAACAATCCTGTGGACAGACCTTGCATATCATGATCTAGCACAGAGATAGAAATTGGATCAGGGAGATAAATGCCTTTGAGAATGTTTAAACAGCAGAAAAGATAGCACCACTGAAACTGGCCTTAGTTAAGCAATATTTTCAATAATCATATCTGGAAGGCTCCCATTGATTGATCTGGTCCAGGCCATCTAATAGTGTTGCAGAATCGTGTAACACAGTTTTTTCTAGAATGTATGATTCAGATTATAATGGGGGGTAAAGGTGTCTCATGATGGAATTCTTCTTAATTACTGGACATGGTGGGATGCCTTTATTTATTATATGGATGAGGAATTAAAATCTGCTTTATTTTTTTTAAAAAAATAGCAGCAGGCATCCTATTGGTTAGATACTATCAATCAATTGTTGAATTGTTGAAAGATGAATCAACACATAGGTAAATTCCATTGATGAAGTGGAGCTACTCTTATTAGTGCCAAGTATAGCATTTAGGCAGTAAAAATGAAATGCACAGATATATGCACAAGATGGATGGCACCTGGCTTGACAACAGTACATGTGAAAGAGATCTAGGAGTCTTAGTGGGCCAAAAGTTGAATGAGTCAGCCATGTAATGCAGCAGCTAAAAATGCCAATGTGATTGCAGGCTGCATCAATAGGAGTGCAATGTCTAGATCGAAGGAAGTAATAGTAACACTCTATTCTGCTTTGGTCAGATCTCATCTGGAATATTTTGTCCCCTGGGCACCACAGTTCTAAAGGATGTTGATAAACTGGAATATGTCTGCAGAAGAGTGACCAAAATGTTCAAAGGACTGGAAGCTAAGCTAAGTCTTATAAGGAATTACCTAAGGAGCTGTGTATGTTTAGATTGGAGAAGAGAAGGTTATGAGGTGAAATGATAGCCATGTTAAAATGTATGAAGGGATACCATATTGAAGATGGAGCAAGCTTGTTTTCTATTACAGTGCCTAGAACACAGAACAATGGGTTCAAATTACAGGGAAAGGAATTCCACCTAAACTTTAGGAAGAACGTCCTGGTGGTAAGAGCTGTTCAGCAGTGAAATATGTTGCTTCAGAGAGTGGTGGAATTTTAAACAGAGGATGGATGACCATCTGTCAGGAGTGCTTTGATTGCATATAACTATTGGAAAATTGCTGGATATTTATGTTATTCTTTTCGTTTTCTACCAATGAGGAAACGGCCATGAGTTCTCTTTGGGAGGGGGGATTTTGGTTGTTTTGAGGCTGATAGAGAATTCCAACTTTCATAATGATAAAAACGTGAGCTTCAGTGGCATAAGTCTGACTGCTTTGCATTGATCAGTCCCCATATCTTCAGTTAAAAGTTCTTACATGGCTGATGACAGGAAGGACCTCTGCTCTAGAGAGCCTCTGCTAGTCCTTGTAGACAGTGTTGGTCTAGATCAGTGGTTCTCAACCTTTCTGATGCCGTGACCCCGCAATACAGTTC